ATATATATATATATATATTCGATATAATAAACTCTCGCTCTAAATGATTATTCGATAAAATGCTCCTCTTGCCCTTCTTTCTTTTTCTTTCTCTTTCTCTCTTTTTCGAATGATGTGTTGCTGCTGATTTTAATAACGGTGTTATAAACGAGTACCGTGTTTCGACGTTAGCATTTTCTTGACAGAAAATATGCTCATAGATAGGCCAACAGTTGCAAGGATACACGCTGATTTTGTGATGTTGCGTTCGACCATATTCCTACGGAACACGGACGAGACGGCAGGCTACAACAAAGAATTAATTTCTTTCATACAAGATTAAGATTGAAACGATCTGATTTTTCTAGAAGAGGCGTATTACGTAACAAATGTAGCTTACCTGTTGTAATGATAATCTAAGAGCATAGAGAGTGGCAGGAGTCAGATACATCTCTAAGCCACGGCTTTGCTTCGTACTCTGAAAAAACAATAGAATAGATAAATTATGTATGTTGTTACATAATTTACACACACACACACACACATATAATAAAAGTGTCAAATTTATAAACGAAGTATATATGAAATTGAATCATATCTAAATTAGCTACAAACAATTTGGATTATATTTTTGTAAACCATGCGTTTTCGCCATGATTGAAATTGATCCTTGCGTATTTGATCTCTGAAGTGACAACGTCAATTTTTAAAATCACTCATGAAATTACGTTAAATTAAAAGTCATTTTATTAATTTTTAAAATTATTCCACGTGATATATTATTAATATCTATAGATAGTTTAAAATTCTTTAAATTTTCAACAAAAGATGCGCAATAAACGCAGAATATATGTAAATGATGTGAAGGTGTATTGATAAGTGACAAATGCGTATGTTCATTTAAAAAAATACTATTACGCACATATCGAGATATCACTGTTTAACTTCCACAATATGAATAACATTTTATTAAACTTACCAAGAACCGTGACTAAAGTTGCCCTACATCATTGAGCCACTATATAATCGATTTTTGTTAGTAAAGTTACTACTACATTACTGCGCGCCATTACACAGATATGGCTTGGCGCCGTCTAAGATTATATTTTCCTATATTTAAGTATCTTTATATAATGATACACGATATTTTCAGTCAATGACAAGAGAAACGCAATGAAATTTTGCTTCCTACAATTTGACATTTTGAAATGTTGCACAGGGTATACTAATTTTTCTTGGCCAACCTTTGCCAATACATTCCACATGCAAGATAAAATTTCATGTATAAATCGAGACAAAATGTCACGTAAACGTAGTTCGTTTCTGAAACTATATTAAAAAATCGTAAGCGAAATAGAAAATGAAGTTTAGGTATTTCATATTTAACTATAGTACGATTTATATAATGTTAATTTATATAATGGGAGTATTTTATTAATTTTATATTTCATTATTGTCGATTTTGTATCACGCTAATATTCTCATTGTGAAACATTAAAAAATGAAATTCATAATATAAGAAAACCACGCCAATGTATAACGTAAATTCGAACTATTATCAATCAGGCTAGAATCTGGAATTAACGTGCGATTACATCTGCGGCACGCTTATCACTCCATTTGCACATGTCTCTATATGAAAATAAAAAAGTACATCTCATAGCGCGAGATTGATTGTTGATCTCGTTTCATTCATTTTTATCTAAATGTAAAATCCAACTAAACAAACGTAACGTCTTCGTTATTTGTCTCTAGAAGAAATACTACATATGATAATCTTAACCTAAAAGTTCATGGTTCATGGTTTCCATTGAGATAAAAATAGAGCGATCTAAGGCAACGGTTTAAAGAACATGACGAGAACAAAGTTTTTTCATCAATTCTAAAATATCGAAGTGTTGTTTTTATTAATTAAACTTCTAAAAAATGAGGCTTTTCGTGTGTTATCCGGTGTAAATTAATGGAGTGTAAGCGGCATAGAATTTTCTTGGACGTTCTCTTACGTAATCGATACAACAATAGTGTCACATGCGATGAAAGAAAAATTTCGAAGTTGAATTTTAGGTAAAAGTGTGTTTTACACTCAGGCACCTACCGACGTGTGCGAAACTATGCCGATGAAAGAGATAAATCACCAAAGATTCTACGATCCTTCGTTTCAAGTTGTTGTCTCACCACTGTCGATTTTGCATTTCTAATTTCCGGGCATCGATTTACATCTATTGCGCCACCTTCCAATGCTCCAACATACCTACCTTACCGCTTCAACCATCTTCTGCATTTCCACAATATGGTAACACAGACGAGGTATATGAATAGACATTGAATCATTGACTAACATCAAGTTCAATCATCACATCGTCAATGATGGTCCAGCATTAAGTTAGTCAATAGTGATATCTCGTCAATGATGGTCCAGCATCAAGTTAGTCAATGGTGTTATTTCATTAGTGATGGTAAGGAAGCTGTTTACATTTACCATACGACGGTACTGATGGACGATTCTTTTTTAAATTTCTGTTTAAGAGATGCCGCTGTATTATACTTCAGTCAAATAAATTAAAAACATTCGTGTATAACTATAATGCATAGGACATTTTATTATTTTATAAGGAATTTTCTTACTTGCCAGGACAGATAAATCTGATAAATGTGATTGTAACTGCGAACAAAGGCCTTTGTTTAATGCTTACCTACCATTTTGTTGATTAAAATATAAATTTAGTCAGAGAAAATAGTTAGTTAGTGACGCATCGCTTTATCTCGGATTCATTTCCGTGGGATGCCACAATATCCTTTGAAGTTGGCAGTATCGCCACACCTCGCTCGTGCAAAACTAAATTAACATTAAGAGAAAAACTATGACCCGTTGGGTGATGTTCTTCTACTGCGTTCAATTCTTTTCATTGGTGTTTAGCGAGTATAAAGATCTGGAAAGTCTTTGCGCGGCTCAACAGTTTTGCAAAAATTGTCTGCAGACCCCGCAGTGTGTTTGGTGTTCTACACCGGTGATCGTCGTTTTTGATTTAATTGTTAAATCATCATTGACGAAATAATTTCAACAATCAGAAACGAATTTCTCGTTTAGCTTTCCGATCGGAATGTGAACAATCCACTGGTTCGTTGTGTCACCAGAGAGAAATTTTCAAATGAAGGCAGCCACTGGTGTCGCACGTCAGACGTGATAGACGAAACGAGTCAAATGCTGTTACTCGAAGATCGACCGTTGTCCTCGACGAAAGGCACAAGTCCGGTTCAGATTCAGCCTCAGAGAATCCGCTTGAAACTCAAACGAGGAAAGTATAATTTTCTTCTTCGTAAGAGAATTTCATTCTAATTGAGTCACGTCTGGTTGAAATTCTCTCACAGGTGAGAAATACCGGCTGACCTTAAAGTATAGCCAAGCAGAGGACTATCCAGTCGATCTGTATTATCTGATGGATCTGTCGGCATCTATGGAGGACTCTAGGAATCTGCTGTCAGAATTGGGCCGCGAATTGGCAGATGCAATGCGAAACTTGACTTCCAACTTCCGCCTAGGATTCGGCAGTTTTGTGGACAAAGTTGTGTTGCCCATGACTTTAACGCAGCCGGACAAGTATTTCGGATATTTAACATTCGTGGTTCGTACACATCGTATACGCTTTCTCGATCCATAATTATTTTACAGGTTGAAATCTCCGTGTACTTTGAAATCCGGGAAACCGTGCGCACCGCCGTACGATTACAAGCATCAGATGCCTCTTAGTGAAAACATTGATCTTTTTAAGGTAGTT